AACCTTTTTGGGTAAGAAAGTAGCTCTATTAGTATCAATATTTTCCCCTCTTTTGGTTAGTTTTTCCTTTAAAATGTGATTGACTACTAATTTAAAGTAATTTCCCAGGAAAACTCCCTATAATTTCCCAAAATATACTCCGCATTTCCACACTTTCTTTCCAACTGGCCATTTCTCATTACTTTTCTGTCACTTTTGATAATTGCATGACGCGTTTTACACGCGAGTTGAGCGCGATTTTCAAACATTTCGAGAAGAAAAAAAAAAGGAAAACACCCACACACAGATCGATTATATATATACGCTATATGTATGTTTGGAAGGGACTATCGATGGCATATCCTTACAAGGATTTGCACTTAACCTGCTCCACTTGCAGCCCAACTTGGCATCGATTGCGATTGCAGGGAAATGCGAGGAAAACTGTAAGAGAAAAGCCGTTGAGAAGCGAGAACAAAAAAGCGGCTCCTCAAGTGGAAGCAATCGCTCAAGTTGGAAACCCTTTTTCTTGTTTTTTCTTGTTTTTTTTTTGAATGTGTTTTATGGGTTTTTCCTTTTTATTTGTATTTTTTTTTGTGTTGCCACCTGCTGACGTCACTATTGACCCACTTGCAAGTCGAATCGAATTCGCATTCAAAGTGCCAAGCAGTTGAGATGCCAAAGATGAAGATGCATAGAGAGAAAAGGGGATGTAGTTTGGGGAAATATGGAAAATTTGTACATAATTTGATGAGTTTTTAGTTTTAAAGGATGTTTTATTAGATTTTTTATCCATATTTATGCAAAAATTAAGGATTTTTTTTTGTATATTTTTTAAGGAAAGAATCTTGAAAGAGTTACCCCTGTTTTTCTGCCAGTGCATGGTACAAAAAAGCGTAGCCAGATAAACGCAAAGCAAACCCTCTGCTCACATTTCAATCTCTTGCCGGCAGTTTGCCTCGGATTCCTCGTTGCCATTGATAAATATGCCAAATCATCGGGCACGTCCTTAGACCTCTGATCAGATCCCCAGGACACGTGCAGCAAACCCCAAACCCTCTTGGACAAAAACAGTGCCAAAAAAAATGAGAAGAAAATTAAGTAAGAAAGAAGAAAGAAGAAAGGGAAAGGGGTGTGTGAGGTGGGCAAAAGTTTTTCCATTCACTTTTCGTTTTGTTTGCCAAGTTATTCTGTCAAAATTTATTTAAATATTCTACCGAATTTCCTGGAACACTTTCCTTGGCCTTCTTTTTTTTGTTTTTTCTTTTTGGGTTGAAGGATGTGAAGTACACTCCGCACTCGATAAAAGTTCTGGCGGCAAAACGCTTCGCGTTAAATAATTTCCCCAACAGTCATTAAGTGCAACAAAAAAACACTTCTCCTGTCTGTCTCCTTCTTCTTGGTGGCAGCGACAAATGGCTGCAAATTATGATGCTGCTACCAAGTTATGCCAACGAAAGGGAAAACGAAAATTCCCCCACCCTCTACCCCCTCCCAATTCACAAACCCAAACCCTTACCCCATCACGCGTAAACTCTTCTTCGCTTGAACCAATTTTTCTTTTTTCTTTTTTTTCTTTGCATTTTCAAGAACTTTTCCTGCTGCCAACAATTAATTGAAATTAACATATTTTTCTTCTTTTATTTGAGACAACCCCCTGCCTGCCTGGCTGCCTTGACCACAGTTCCACGCCTGACTAACTTAATTTCCACGGGTTTTCTTTCCCTCCTCCGCGTAAAATTAAAATACTGCGGATTAATTTTCAGCGTCTGAGACAGGGGGAAAAAAAGGAGGGGGAAGAAAAAGAGAAAGGGGAAGAGGGAAGAGGGAAGTAAGCTACTTGGACCAATTAAATTCTTGCCGAAAGTTGGCAAATTGATTTTCCCAGTAATTCCCAAAATTTTCTCTAGTATCCCATTTCGCTTTTCAGTTAGTTAGGGCAGGTAAAGAACTTTCCCATTAAAAGCAGTTCCGGGAAATGTTTGGGGTAATGATTGGGAGTGTTAGATTCTGATATCAGTTTAAGGGATTAATTTAACATTTTTTTAAAGGATTTTTTCAAGATACATTTTAAAGTTTCCCAGCTACTTATTACCACTTTAAGTTAGCCATATTAAATTGCCATAAATTGAGCTCATCAATAGCACTTGTTACTTGTTCTTTTTCCAGTTTTTTAAGTTAACTTTTATGACAAATTGCAGGTTAAGCGGGGTCCAAAATTAATTTCACAAAATTGTTTATGGCCTGTAAGTGAAGCGCTTTCATTTTTGTGGCACCTTTAATGGGGCCAGACTCAAAGGCAGGGGCGCACAGCCAACGGGGGATTTGCCTAAATTCAAAGTCAGCAGCAAAGGCAGAAGGCAGGGGAGAGGTTCTTTTTAAGTTCTCTCAGTCACATAATAAGGGCATTCCTCATACGCCACCGATTCCCCAGTTGCTCCATTTGCAACGTTTACAGTTCTCATATATATATATCGTATTGTTGTTGTGGCTCCTCGTTGGGCTCTGTCTTTATGAAAAATTATACAAAACTTTTTACTTAGTGCCACGCGGGCTCTCTCTGAACAATTACGAGGCCATCAGGGAAGTTGAAGGCAAAAGCAAAAGGCAGCCAGCCAGCCAGTCAGTCAGTCAGCCATCCAGTCAGTGGGGTCAACTCAAGGGGTCGGCAAATAAATAACGTGTTTGTAATAAGCCAGTATATGTATGTACTTTTGTATATATTTGATTCGAGTCCACCTCCCCCCTCTTCCTCCTTTTAAAACGATGCAGAAAGTGGTTGGGTAGGGAGGAGGGAGAGTCCCAGCCAGCAATTGAAAATGGTTTCCCATTCGCATTCTGGCTTATCGCTGCAGAAACACAATCTGTCAGTTTTCCACTAATTAACTGAGTGGCGAACAATGTCCAAGATTTATGGCTATTTTTCTTGGCGGAAATTTACTTAATTACAAAGTATATACCAGCTCATCCTGCCTCTGAACTGATGGCATAAATCAGGGCAATTGTTTAGGAAACTTTGCTTCTATTTTGAAATGTTTTGGAAAGTTTTTGGGGAAAAGCTTTGCTTTTAAAGAGAAGGCTTTGGGTTGCTCAGTGATTGCTTAAAGTGGTTTCCGTTTGTAGTGATTTTAAAGGGTTAAATGTGGCAAGTGAAGGCTTAAAAAGAGTTTCTTTTAAACTAAGAAAAAGAGAAATTTAAGTAAAATATATTGAAAATTATAAAGAATTATTGAAAATCTTACATTTAAATGTTTTTTTCTAATATAATTATATAATTTTTAAGGCTTTCTAAGAAAGAATCTTGAAGAGTGTTTAAATTTTAAGCACATATATTTTTTTAGAATTTTTTTATTTATATTTTCTGCATTAAAAAAGAATAATTAATAAGTTACCTTACCTCTTCCTACACTTTGAATTTCCAATGACAGCCGCAAAGTAGGCACTACTTTTTGTTTACCTTTTCAAACTGAGGTTAGACTATGCATTTTTTCCTTGCACTTGCATTTAGCAATTACCAATTAAATCTGTGCAACGCTAGCCAGGTCAGATGGCCAACCCAGCCCAGCCCGGTTACCTTTTCTAATTACGCACTTTGGCGAAATTCCTTGCCACTTGCAACGCCATTCCATGCCGCCACCTGGCAAAAACTTTCGGCATTTCTATGGAATTCAATTTCAAAGCTATATCATTTTCATTTAATTTCACGCTTTCAATTTGCGACCCACACAAGCACAGAGGGGAGAGTTTTTCGTTCGCTTTGTCCAGCCGCATCCCTTTTTTCTTGTTGTTGTTGTTGTTGTTGTAGCTCACCCACACTTTCAGGGGGGGCCCTTGGTGACCCCCTTGGTGACCCCCTTCTTTATCCGGTGGTGACCCTGCCACAAGAAGAGTCGCGGCACATGCCAAAGGTATGCCATAATGGATTTTTCAGCTGCTGTTGTTGTTGTTGTTGTTGTTTTCCTTTAGCCACCTATTGTCTGTAAAACGAAACCGCCTTTCGCCCCATTTCCCCCGCCATTTTCATTCGTTTTCCAACCCCTCAACACCCCCCTCCAGGAATCAAACCGAACCGTAGCGAACCGCATCGCCCGTCAATTTAGCACTTTCAACTAAACACACACACGTGCCTCTTGGTGTGTGAGTGTGTGTGTTTTGTGTGTGTGTTTTTGGAATGGATTTGGAATGGTATAGAAAAGGAAAACAAAACAAAAAAAGAAAAGTTTTTCTAAAAAACAAAAGCAAAAACTGCACATCCCTTCAAATGGCAAACAAGAATATCCATGACCAGGTCAAAGGGCATTACCCATTAAACGCAACGAATGTGATTGCCCTCCCGGGAAAATGTGGGAAATTTTTAGAAATTATTTTAAATGTGGTTTGGTTGGGAGAGTTTTTTTGCGTTTTTTTTTTAACCTTTTTGATGGGAAAATCTAATGAAAAATGTTTAAAAATTGCTATAAAATTTATAAACTTGGAATTATGAATATTAACCACTTTTTAAGATCTTAAAATCTCTTTAAACTATTTTAGCAAAAGTTTATTAGACCTATGAATACCCCCCAAAAAGCCAGGCTAGTTCAGCAACTATGTTATGACGCTGCCCAAGGTCGAGCATTTTCCACTCACGTTTTCTTTTTTGTTTTTTTTTTATTCATGCAACTGGCAGCCGTTTTTCAAAAATACTTCAAACAAACAATTTTTAGGACCGTTGGCGATAAAAGGATTTTTCAATTTACGGAAAACCTTCGATGCCAGGGCCTTTGTGTGTGTGTGAGTGTGAGTGAATGTGTATGCGTTTGAGACTTTCACGAAATTGGTCAGCAAAAATTTGTTTGGCGTGTAAATTGAGCAGTTTTTTTTATTTTCATTTTTTGTTTGCTGGCAGCCATTGTTTAAGTTTCGTGTGGAAAGAAAAACTGCGGAAAATGCTTTTTAATCATTTAACTAACGTAATCAATTCTCTTCCTCTCTCTCTTTCTCTGTTTCTCCTTACTGGGTACCTTGTAAATTGCAATTCACAGCGCGAAACTTTTGATTAATTAAAAGTAAAACAGAAAAAAAAAAAGCCGAGAGCCAACCAAGAACTGGCTTTTGGGCATTCACAGGAAACGACAGCAACCACAACGAGAGAGACTTAACCTACTTCTCCACCAGGAAGCTAAAAACCAGAAAATCAAAAAAAACAAAATACGAAAAAAGGAGATCAACTTTGACAGAACATCAACATCGAAATGGAATTGGCCATCAGAATTGTCAAACCGCAGTTGGCTCGCTACAAAAACAACTATAACAGCAATAATAACAGCAACATTCACACCAGCAATAGCAAGAGACTAGACACCAACGGTAGCTGCAACTTATGCAACATCTGCAACATCAGCAACAACAACGACGAAAACAACAATCCCAATATCAACAGTATAACAACGATTCCACAAGAAGCAAGAACTGTGGCAGCAATACAAATTGCAGCAACAGCAGCCACTTGCAGCAGCCACAACTTATCAGGAACTTGCAACAACTTGTCAACAATATCTGAGCAACATGCAGCAGCAGCAACAACCGTCCATCGACCAGCTGCCCGAGCCCATAGCCTCGACCAGCAGCAATACGGCAGCAACTAAGCCGGCAACAGCAGCAGCAACAACATCGACAACGTCAACCAACAACTTCCACCAGCAACTGCAAGCAACAACGGCAGCAACCATGCAACGTCTGCGTACCACATTTACGCGTTCGCGCACTCCAACAGGTGCCGAAATGAAGATGCAGAATAGTCTGGAGGTGCCCAAGCAGGTAAAAAAGGTGGATAATCGATTATTCCGATAAATTACCTATCGAACGTTTGACTGTGTTGACTGCGGCATGCGAGTCTTTTTGGATTGTTCTTGTTCGTTTTTGACTTTTGTCTTTGTGGCTTTTTGTTTTTATCATTTGCTTTTGTGTTTAAAGTGGCTGACCCTTAAGTTGGGCGCCATATATGTATCGTCATGTCCTTTCTTTATGTGTTTGACTGCTGACCCGGCACTATCCTCATTTTAAAGTTATCTCTTTGATAGCAAAACGATAGCTTTGCATGTTTTACTTTAGTTCACTTTTCAAACATATCGATAAATTCATCGATATATCGATAAATTGTTTATCATGAACAGCTTATGTTTTGTGTTCTGTTTCGTTCTGCATGTGCGTTATTATCGATAACTTTCGATAACTTTCGATAGCAAGTTCTGTTACGATTGAGGCACCTCGTTGACCGCCCCCCCTGTGATCTCACCACTTGTTGCAGGTGCGCTCCGCCTCCTTCGATGAGATGCAATTGGAGTCGCAGCGTGCCTCCTCCAGCCTGCTCAAACAGCAGTCCTCATCCTCGGCCTCAGCAGACGAACGCTCTTCGGAGGCTGGCTTTCTGCAGGTACCATTGGCGGCCCATCAACAACGATCCCATAGCTTCGATTCGGCAACGGCCTCAGGGGGCAGCGATGATTCTGGTACCTTTTTGGAGGTGCCGCGGCGGATGAAGGCTCGCCGCAGTTCGTCCACCAAGACACCGCCGCCCTGCATCCATTGTCACTATCTGGAGGAGTACGAACGCCGGATGACGGCCGAGAAGCGATACTTTATCGATCATCGTGAGCTAACGGCCCTTAGCTATAGCAATACCAGTTCGGAGGCGAGTGAGGATGAAGATGACGAGGATGGGAATAATGGCGAGGAAGAGGAGGAGGGCAGTGGAGCCATCGAGGATGCCGAGGAGGAGAACACTGAAGCGGCTACCGAAGAGGCGGATGAAGATCCCCGCACTGAGATGGAGTCCGAACATGATCACGATCCGGATGACGATGCTGCTCTCGAGATGGACATTCGTATTGGCAATATCAGTCAAGGCAGCAGCATCGAGGAGTCGCGTGCCCGTCTCCCAAGGCAAATGAGGCGCCACACCATCGGCAGTAGTTCCGTTACTTCGGCCTCCGAGGATGAGGGCTTGGAGGGATCGGACAATGGTTCGCCGCATTTTGGCAACACCCTGTTGCCACCCCAACCGGCAACTCCATGCGGCATAACCTTTACGTTGAGTCCAACCAACGGGGATTATCCATCACCACCGCATCTTCCCTTGGATCCGGGCTCTCCACCAATGTCACCATGCTCCTCCAATTCAGGAAGATTGCCAGCTCTGGCTCCAACTATTTCCACGGCCTGCTCCTCTGCGGATGCCGATGATGCTGGAGCGGCTATGGGTTTGCCGGTGCGGGCCAGACGTCGCTCAATTTCGCGGCAGGAGGCGATATTCGTAGAGCCCACTGGGAACTCCTTGGAGAATGTTTCGCACGAGGAGGTGGACAACAGCAATACCAAGTCATCGGTGGATACAGCTGATTCCCTCGATGAGGCCTCCACTATGGCCACTTGTGGCTCACCCGGAGCAGTGGGTGGGGCAGGTCAATCCTCGTCCAGTCATCACAGCGCCTTTGTGGTGCGAGATATTTATCTAATGGTTCCGGACCTGAAGCGAGATCGTGCCGCTTCCGTGGACTCGTGCTTCTCGAAGCTCTCGTCTGGAGCCAAAACGGAGGAGTTGCAACCAAGTGCAGATGGCTGCTTCCTCACTGTGCCGAATATCAATGCCACCAGATCCCGTTCCGTGGACATCGTTCTGCCAACGGATGAGCAGGCCAGGTACAAGGCCTTGTCCATGACGGGATCCACGGTCACCTATGCTGATGGGTATGTATCGTAATGGGTGTGTAATCGATGATGTAATGTGTTTGTGGTATTATTTTTTGTTTTAATTTATAATCTTTTTTTAAGTTTAAACATTCTTTTGATATGAAAATCAGTTTAAATTTGCCTAAAATTTAAGGAGAGCTATAGCCTGCTTCTTCCTGTTGAGATCTTTGTTGTATCTAGCCCAGCAAGCTGTCCAAAAATGAAACCAAAACATGTTAACTAGTGTTATCTTTGTGTCAAAGTTCACCCAACAGCTTTAAGCCTTGCCCTACCTGACACACACCAATTTAGCCAGCAGTTTACTTTGAGTTGAGAGTCCAAAAAAAAAAAAGGGGAAAAAAGGAAAGGAAAGTAGAGAACCGCCTCCCTCCTAGTTGGGCCTGCCAGCAATGTTTACTTTCGGTTTTACTCTGCCAGAGATTTAAGGTTCCACTGCCAAAGCCAACAACCTCCACCTCCTTGGCAAAGCCCCCTCCCAAGTTGGGCGGTGGCTATTTTTAGAGCAGCCAAACTTTTAAATTGACTCATTAAAACGAGCTTAACACGTGGCTCTGGTTAGGATTTTGGGATCAGCAGCGGGGACTGTTATGCTTGGATCAATTTTAGACTTGAACCCCGAGATCTTGAAACCCATATCCAGTATCCTGAATCCTGTAGACCGTAGACACTTGACCGGCATGTGTGTGTGGGTTGTGACACGTGTGTCTGCCTTTCGGGGGGTGACACATTAGGTGTCCGTTAGTGTCCGTCAGTGGACCAAGCCCCGTCGACTTAAGCCTAATTAGAAACGAAGGATTCGGGTACCGCTTCACCCTTCGTTCCCTTTCGTAGCTCCCTTTCGCTTCTGGCCATTCATAATTCTCGCCAAGTTGGCCCACAGCGGACGTGGCCTAAAGTGTGCCGTATGCCAACCCACTTGGCTTGAATAAATTATGGCGACTTGGTCGGAAAAAATGGGGCTAACAAGAGGAGTTGGAAAGGTTTAGAGAAACTTTGAATGCCCTTTGAAAAAATCAGAAGATTTAAGAGTGGAAATTTTGAAGGAAACTACTTTTCTGAAACTGCTTTTCTGGCTCTTAAGACCATTGGCAAGTCGAAGTTTGCTTTCTTCTAAGAATCATCAGCTTATTTAATCCTGAAAAGTTTAATTTTTAACTTCTCTAGAAGGGAAAGAAGGCCACTAGTTTGATTTTTACTTTCTATTCCCTTTTCCTAATATTTAATCTCTATTTTTTCTCTATTATATTTTAATATTAACTTGTTTAGAGGTCAATCTTATCTTAAAAAGTATCAAACCCACAGTTAGTGGAGATTTCAGTTAGTTAGATTTCCTTGAATTACAACAAAAGCCGCTCATAAATAATATTCAAACAAAGTGTCCCGTGTCCGTTGTCCTCTGTCCGTTATCCTCTGTCCGTTGTCCGCATATCCCATTGCCCAACAATGACAAGAAGAAACTCTCCGAGTCGACTGCGTGTGTCCGAAAAGCTCTCGAGGTGTGAGGCTGATGAACCACTTCAGGCCAATTTGTTTTCTCCTCCCCCGCCCCCAAAAAAACCCAGCAGAACCACCCAAAAAAACCACTACAACCAGGGCGTCCTCCCTTTTGGCCCTTTTTCCAGGGAACCGATATGGATAATTCAAAACTCTCCTCTGATGGATTACATAGATTAGAGGACTCGTGTGTGTGTGTGTTCGTGGTTTTCCGTGGCATGAAACTCGATTCCGTTCCGCGGAAAATTAATTAGCTTAGTGCGGGTTTATCATGAGGAGCACGGACTAACATCTATTAATATGAAACAGAAATGGAGGTTTGGCCAAGGGGGGGTAGAGCCATAACATATTGCTGTGGGTTCACAAGAGAGTTTACCAAAATATATTATATTTGATATTTAATATTTAGTTTAAATTGGATTTCCATCAATTTTCATATTCATTAAAAACTGAAAAGTGAACTTCAGCTCTGGCCATCCAGAAATCGCTGAGCCATTCGCTTGCCACTTCAAAATAAGTAAATATTTTCCCCAAATGAATAATTTTTTATTATCGCTCTTTTACTTGCAGGTATGTATAAATTTTATATATATTGCTGGTTAACCCTTGACTGCCTGGCCCTGAATGCACTCGAAAGATAAGTACTGGAAATGAAAATGAATTAATATTGAATTGCCATTTGTTTGGCCGAGTGTTTGGGGTTTTTCCATTTGTATTTTCCTTAATGCCGCCGGTAGCTTTTTTAATTTCCGATTCATGTTTCCTCTCCCCTCACATACCCATTAAAATCTCCCTTCGGGGGTTCTCCTTTATGGGCTTTCCCCTACATAAACCTTAGGTTTTCCTTCTTGATTTACGATACCAACGCGTGACACGTTATTATCTACCGCTTGAGAGTGCCTTTTTGGCCATTACGGACATTCTATTGCCAATTCTGAGCTTTGACCACTGACTGATATGTTTAATTCTCTGTCGTTTTGGCATTCAGAGAGGGTTTCTTAACCCGTCTACAGAAATCGTTTTGCTCGATAAAATGGAAAATATTATAAAATCATTCAATCATGCGACGCATGCCGGACGCTGCAGCCATTCATTCTGAGTTTCGGATGCGGTCTACACTCCAATCTTGGCTTTTCAACCTTTGGAGTTAAGTCATTTATGCACTGGCAAGAATTTTGGAAACTAAAGTTTTAGTTTTGAATTTAAAGAGAAGGAAAAACTACATTTTGGGGGCACCTTTTAGAGTGTTAAACTTAATGTTGTATTAATTTTCTTTAACTTTTAATCTACAAGTTTTCTCTCTGTGCATCTGTCGACCATTCGTGCGTCTTTCTTTGGTTTCTTCTGTCTGTCCCCGGGGCGTGTGCGGTTCATTCATGCGACTTTGGGTCCTCAGACATTCCGCTGGATTTCCCTGTCTTCCTCCTGCAGACACCCAACTCTCCTCCCACTTTCAACCAGCCAAACAATAAGAACAACAACAAGTAGCTGCTACCAGCCATCGAACAAGCAGAAACAAAAACTTAACTTAACTTTTATGACAATGGGGCAAATAATTTTATGAAAATACTCCCCCGGGGGGGGGCAACTATATACATATAGATCCCACGGAACCTTTCCATTTTGGCGGTTGGAAAGTGATGAGATGGGTAGGAGGAGGTGGGCTGCCCTAATGGAGTGAGAAACCGAAGTTTTGCATACATGAAATTAGCATACAGCACTCGAGGGATATGCGATTGTGTTGCAAAGTCGCTTTATTCCCTGATTAGGCCTAAGTTCTTTTGTGTCAGCAAGCAGCGGAGTCTTGGCCCCATTTATGGCTATTTATTTATTGAAAAAATATTGTTTAAAGAGATCAGAGAGATTATTGATTGGGATATTGTAACGAGAAACAAGATAAAGATACTTCAATTTGCAGTTAAGGAATCATTTTGGGGGTAAAGTTAGAAAATTTCATCTCTGACCCAATGTAGACTTTTTAAATCAGATTTCTGTCTTACTTTCTTGTTAATTAATAATATTTTAGTACTTTTCTGGTCTAAGAGTGCAGTTAATAGATGCTTAGATAGAGATGAGATAGAGGATATAGGGTGGCCCATGGAATATTTGCTGAAAAATATTCCAAATTTTCTTCGAGCCCAAACTTAACCATTTCGTAAACCGTTAAGCTTCTACTAAATATCTGACACATTGACGAATGGCACTCGAAATGTCAAAGTCAAAATTAACGATAGTTCAAAAAGCAAACGCTACATGGGCCACCCTGTACGATATACTAAAAATGGTTTTAACCTTTTCTAAATCATTCCAAACAAGTTCTTAGCCTACAGTTTTCCCCCCAAACTGGTTATTAATGAATCCCTTGAAATGGAAAATACTATCAGATATATCTCAAGTGCCTTGCGTGTGCTCTAACCAGGAAAGAGAGAAGGAACTCCCACATCATCCAAAATAACAATTTAGAAGAAGACAAAATAAAACTCTCGAACCAGGAAAAGCAGAAGATGATAAATGGATCGCTTTAGTCTGTCTTCAGTTCTTCCAGTCTTGCTATTATTTTATTCGGTTTATGTTTTTACTGTTGTTGTTTTGTTTCCGCATTTTGCTGACGCAGGCAGGGGTGGCATGCAACAAGAGCAGCAGCACCAGCACCAGCAGCAGCATTCACGGGGGCAACATCAGCAGTCGCAGCCGCAGCGCAACACTCATCTACAATTAAGTTTTATGAAACATTTGTTTGGTTTTCTTATTTTTCTTTACTCGTTTTCCCCCTTCGTTTTTCTCGCGCTTTTTTCCTTTTGCCACAACTACGTCAGCATTTTGGTAGGCGGGGTGGAGGCGGTGGGGGGCTGCAAGGGCGTAGGTGAGGCTGGGCGTATGGAGGCGAAATTGAAATGCAAATTGAAAGGCACAAAGCGAAAATATGCCAAGCGAAACTGAACAATCAAAGCGGGAGACAAAGCAGCGACCGCAGCGGCGGCAACGTCACAAATTGCCACGCCAGCGGCGGCAGAGCAGCTGGCAGAGCTAGAAAATGTCACCATCACGATCCAAATGGAAAATCGCTGGCGAAAAAAAAAGGAATAACCAAAAAAAAAATCAAAGAGAGATCAGCCTCAGTGATGGCAAAGAAATTTGATTTTCCAAAGAAAAAATGAAGCTAGAAAAGAACTTGTAAGGAAAAGTTATAAACTAATTATATAAACTAGAAGTTACTAAGAAACCAGAAAACTAAACAAAAACTAAATCTTAAATGGTAACTTATATAAAGTTAAGCAATGAAAACAATTTTAGTTGGTAAAAAATCACCAAATTGGGGTAGTAGCAGGGCCCTTCTGATTTTAAATTTCTTAAAAATATTTATAGAAAATTTAAAAGTAACCAAATTTAAGTTCTTATTATAAAAGAAAACCATTTTCACTTCAAAATTTAAAGAAAAACTAAAAAAAAAAAATAGTAAATAATCCAAGCTAGCTACTTTCCCAGCTAAATTCTAGCCAACT